CACCTAGAGGGACGTTGGGAGAAAGGCCTGGTGATCTACTTCCAAAACTGAGCCACTGAAAACCCTATGGAGCACAGTTCTACTCTGATACAAATGGGGTTGTCATGTGTATGAATTGACTTGATAGCAACTGCATTGATTACTCTGGGCTTCCGTCATATGGTGCATCCATGAATGTATCATAGGTTATCTCCTGACCTTTGTGCAGGAGCCCTGTTGATACAAGTGGTTAAGCACTCAGCTGCTAACCAGAGGTCAACAGTTCAAACCTACTAGCCACTCCACAGGAGAAAGATGTGACAGACTGCTTCTGTAAAGATTTACAGGCTTAAAAACCCTTTTGGGGCAGTTCTCTGTCCTATAGGATTGCTATGACTCAGAATTCAACTTGATGGCAATGAGTTTAGTTTGGTTTTTGGGTGACCTTTGTCCATGCTAGAACACCAAAATCAAAAGCCGTTACTCTTTCTTTTAGTTTGTTGTTGTTTGTTACGTGCCGTCACCTTCCAAGTTTAGTTATCTCAAATTGTCTTTTAGGCCTCAGCTTAGAAGGTTCTTCCAGGAAATTTCCTCACCCATCCAACTCTCTCAAGCCTGTCTCCTTCCCATGAGGTCCCACTTACCTTATTGTGCATTAGTTGTTCTTAGCTGCCATCAAATCTGTCCTTGACTCATGTTGACCTCATGAACAACAGAACAAAATGCGGTCTGGTTCTATACCATCCCCATGACTGGTTACAGTCGGACCATTGTAATCCATAGGGCATTCAATGGCTGATTTTTCAGAAGTAGATATCACCAGACCTTTCTTCCTAGTCTGTCTTATTCTGGAAACTCCTCTGAAACCTGTTCAACATCAGAGCAACATGCAAGTTCCCACTAACAGATGGGTGGTAGCCACATGTGAGGTGCATTGATCAGGAATCAAACCTGGGTCTTCCACGGAAAGGGAAGAATTCTGACACTGAACCACCACTGTCCCCATATTGAGCACATAACTCGTTTAATTGACATTGTTTGTATACCACCACAAGCTTCTTAAGGACAGAGACTCTGTCATCCTCATTATCGTATTCTAACCACCTAGATCATTCCCAGCCCTTAGTAGAAGCTCAACTACAGAACAGATAAATACTGGGGGGGTGGGGGGGTGGACAGAGGAAAGATGCAGAGTTATTGGAAGGATAGTAATGTAAGAGGATTTTCACCACATGGTTTCACACACTTTTAAAAAAGCAAGAGGCAAGATTATCTCCTGAGTTCAAGGTAATAGAAGAAGAGATTTAAAAGGAGAAGAGAAGGTATGGAGTATCTGCTATCAATTTTCTATTGGGTAGTTATTGAACAGGAGCTCTGGTGGTGTAGTGCCTAAGGCATTTGCTAACCAGAAGGCTGATGGTTCAAACCCACCAGCCGCTCCTTGGAAGGAAGGTTGGGCAATCTACTTCTGTAGTGATACTGCCTCGGAAACCCAAGGAGGGGTCACTATGAGTCAGATCTGACTCGATGGCAGTGAGTTGAGTTATTGAACAGGAATCTCTATTTCAGGAATTCAAGATGTGACTGACTAAGGCATAAGTGGTCTCTATTTGCCTGAAACAACAGAGGAAAAAGAAGAGTCAGGAATAGAAGAATTTAAAAAAAGAAAAAAAAAAAAGATGTGATTAACTGAATCGTATGCTGGACTGGTCTGTACTCAGTGAGAGATCCTACAGAAGAAAGCTCTAGATGCATATCTCGTCTCACTGGGTAAGGGCTCTGTCTTCTAACTTAGAATCCATATACTCTGAATTCTCTGGGTTTTGGTTAAAAAAGAGAGAGAGAGAGAGAGAGAGAAGTTTTTAAAGAGTTCTGCTGAATTAGAAGATAAGGATTCCCAGTAGCTTTGACTCTTGGGTACAAGATGCTTCTGTTCTTTGTTGCAGATGCCTGGCCTGATTTGTGGAGTTGAAGATGACAGCTCCATGACTTACCCTAACCTTGCATTGTTGCCAACCTTTCTACTCCTGTTAGGAACCAGTAGATATCCAAATCTGAACTCATCTTCAAACCTTCAAACCCACTCTTCCCAACCTTAAAACCTCCTCCTCCTCCTCTTACCCCTATCTTCATTAACAGCACAATGTATCATCCATTGCCTAAGTTAGAAAAATGAAATTCATTCTTGACTCTTCTTTCCTCCATATGCAGTTACAATGTTCTCTTGATTCTGTGTTTCCCATAATAAACAGTGCTTACCTCATTCAAAGCACTACCAAACCACAAAACCAAACTCAATGCTGTCGAGTCGGATCCAACTCATAGTGACCCCTCCTTGGGTTTCCAAGGCAGTATCACTACGGAAGTAGATTGCCCAACCTTCCTTCTGAGGAGTGGCTGGTGGGTTTGAACCACCAGTCTTCTGGTGAGCAGTCAAATGCCTGAGGCACTACACCACCAGAGATCCTTTCAAAACACTAGTCACACTATATTGTTATTATCCATTTATACATATAGTTCTCCTCCATTAAACTATAAGTTCCTTGAGGGCTGGGACCATATCTTATATACATTGTTGTATTCCTAATATCTAGTACAATATTTGGAATATAATAGGTACTCAAAAAAGAACAAACCAGCATGGTTTATCCTTTGGCACCTTCTCCCCTGCTGTTCTGATAAATCACACTAGATCTCTACAGGGACAATCTCACTTCTCTGACTCCTTCCCCACACCCCTAGATCTCTTCACGCTAATCAAGATCACTGTATATACTTTTCAGGAATGTGATACTTTGGGAGATATCTGTATACTGCTCTTTTATTGAAGATTGAATTCCCCATTTAGCATTCTTTTCATGGATTTTGGGAAATGTCTTTAACCTATCATCTTTTAAATAATAATCTGTTTTAGAATTTTGAACAATATATATCAGACAAAGCACTTCAGGGGGAAATGATGACAAAGCCAGTTGTTTTAAACAATTGATTTGAGCATTATTTAAATGAAATTTAGCCTAGGTATGGAGGTTTCTACTAGGTACACATTACCTTATTATAATTTTTTGGCTTAGAAAGATTAGTAATAATATTACTATCTGACATTTATATAGTGCTTTCTATATGCCAAGCACTTTTCTAAATATTTTATACATATTTACTCTTTTAATTCTCATAACAATTCTATAAGGTAAGTACTGCTGTCTCCATTTTACAGATGAGGAACCTGAGGCACAGAGCACTATAGTGATTTGGCCAAGGTCACACAGTCAGTAAATGATGGAGCCAGGATTCAGACCCAGGCAGTTTGCTTTAGAGTCCATACTCTTAATCATTACGTTGTGTTGCCCTTCATTCATTGCAAGAAGATTAATGACTAGAGAGCTCATATCAGCAAGGCCAAGGTAAATTGGCTCTCAGGAGCTCAGAAATGTGTTTTTATGACTGGGTGAGGTCAGGGATTTAATGATATGGACACTCAAAAGCAATAAGTTCATCTGTCCTCCAATTATAGGAGGATAGAAAAATTGTCACATATATGGTGGCAATTCTACCAGAATAGTAGAAAATACCAGGTCTGAGAAAAGGAGAATTGATTTGTATAGAAATGACAGTCAGACATTTTTATTTCAAGGCATAGTTTCATATTTGCTCAACTGTCACTGTCTATTGGGAGGAATGGATAGTGTTACAGATTGAATTGTATTCCCCCAAAATATGTATTATAAAACCTTACCCCTAAAAACTTAATTCATGTCATTGTATAGAAATTGTCAAATGGGAACCTAATTTGCTGTGTAAACTTTCACTGAAAACACAATAAAATATTATTTGAAAAAAAAAAAAAAATCCTAACCCCTATACCTTTGGTTATAATCCCATTTGGAAATGGGTTTTCTTTGTTATATTAAGGACCATATTAGTGTAGGATGTTTTAAGTCAACCAATCACCTTTGAGATCTAAAAAGAGCAGATAGGACAGAGAAGCAAGCAGATGTGGAGGAAGATAGATACCATGCCACGTGAAGATCACCATGATCATCAAGGAATGGAAACTGAAAAGAGACAAGAACCTTCCCTTGAGCCAACAGAGAAAGATAGTCTTCCCCTAGAGCCAACACCCTGAATTCAGATTTCTAGCCTCATAAACTGTGAGAAAATATATTTCTGTTCATTAAAGTCATCTACTTGTTTTAATTCTGTTACAGCAGCACTAGATAAGACAACTAGTGTGCCAGTTATTAATTACTTCTCAGCTCTAAACCCACCCTTCTTTGCTTTGTTTGTGTTACTGAGCTAGACCCTGTATATGTTCTCCTTTGTCAGCTGGCACAAGATTGAAACTTTGTCAATAGGGGATGCTGGAAGGACAGTGCATGGCCAGAGAAAAGAAGGACTTCTCTTCCTAGTACTAGAGTTTTCTGTTTGCTTTAATCATTGCTATTTGGTGTGGCTGCTTGCAGATCAAGTTGTGGGAGGCCTGTTGGTACTCACCCTAGTGGGCTCCTTCCTAGGAACCAGTTCTGATTCAGTCACACCATCCAGTGGTCCAATCCCTGTGGACCAGCTCCACACTACTCACCTCCAGTGAATTTCTCCACCACCCTGCAGGCCACTCCCACAGACCAACTCCAGCCCATACTCTGCCAAGTTTCTTCACAAGCAGGGTGTATGTCATGGGAGCTGTAATCTCACTGATAAGCTCTGAATCTCAGTCTCAGGGAAGGTATATTCTTCTGTGTTCTTTGTTCTTCCCTTGTTTATTCTCTGTTAGCCTTCCCAGTATAGGGAATAGGTGATATTTGTATTTTAGGAATTATAGAATGGTCTACTTTTCATTTCAGAGTCTGAGACCAGGAATAAGATGAAGAAATGGAAGTCAAGATATAAATCTAAAGAAAAAGATTCAATGAGGGTTGTGTCAGAAAGACTCCAAAGACAGATCTCCCAGGAGTGTGGACTAGTTGAAACCAGTGACCCTGAGGACAGGTCAGTGAGATACTGGGTAAGCCCCTCAGAGGATGAAGTAAGACATTCCCCTTTCCAAGAGAGAGGAATCAAGGAAATTAATCTCATCTTAAAGAAACCCATTGCAGGAGAGAGAAGCCAGAAATGTAACAAAGGAGCAAAAATACTTTCTGCAGCAGAAAGATCCCACAGATACGAGATCTGTGGCCAAAGCTTCAAACAGAAGTCTGACTTAACAGAACCTCAGAAAATTAATAATATAAAGAACACCTATGAATGTAGGGAATGTGGAAAAACATTCAACCAGAGCTCCAATTTGATGATACATCAAAGAATTCATACAGGAAAGAAACCATACAAATGTAATGAGTGTGGAAAAGACTTTAATCAAAGTTCAAATCTTATTATACATCAGAGAATTCATACAGGAAAGAAACCTTATAATTGCAATGAATGTGGGAAATACTTCAATCAGAGCTCCAATCTGGTTAGACATAAGAGACTCCATAGTGGGGAGAATCCCTATGAGTGTGAAGAGTGTGGGAAGGCCTTCAAGGGGAGCTCAAACCTAGTCCTGCACCAGAGAATCCATAGTGGAAAGAAGCCATATGTATGCAATGAATGTGGAAAGGCCTTCAATCAAAGCTCAGATCTTATACATCACAGGATTCACACTGGAGAGAAACCCTATGAGTGTTATGAATGTGGGCAAACATTGAGTCAAAGTTCACACCTTGTCACACATCAGAGAATTCATACTGGAGAGAAACCTTTCAAGTGTAACAAATGTGAAAAGGCCTTCAGGCAGCGTTCCCGCCTTACTGAACACCAGAGACTCCACAGTAGAGAGAAACCCTATGGATGTCATGAATGTGGGAAATCCTTCAGTGGGCACACAGCTTTTCTGAAACATCAGAGACTACATACTGGAAAGAGACTTGAAGGTGATAAAGTCTGCACTCCCAACTCAAACTTTATTGAACAGCAGAGAATGAGTAGGGAAGAAAAACGTTATGAATGTACTGAGTGTGGAAAAACATTCCGGGGAAGTTCAGATCTAATTCGACATTGGATAATTCATACTGGAGAGAAACCCTATGAATGTAGTGAATGTGGGAAAGCCTTTAGCCAGAGGTCACACCTTGTTACACATCAGAAAATTCATACTGGGGAAAAGCCCTTTCAGTGTAATGAATGTGGGAAAGCCTTCAGGCAACGCTCACTCCTTATTCAACATCAGAGAATCCATAGTGGTGAGAAACCCTATGAATGTAAAGAATGTGGAAAACCCTTCATGTGGCGTACAGCTTTCCTTAAGCATCAGAAATTGCACATTGGAGAGAAACTTGAAAGTGAGAAAACTTTCAGTAAGGTTGTGGAACATAGGGAAGAGCACAGAATTCACAAAGAAGAGGAAGCGTATCAGTATAATCAATGTGGCAGAACTTTTCGAGGCAGCTCAGGGCTCATCAGACACCAGGTAATTCATTCAGGAGAGAAGCCATATGAATGTCAACAATGTGGGAAAACTTTCAATAAAGCTCAGACCTTATGAGGCATCGTAGAATTCATAGTGGAGAAAAACCATATGTGTGCAGTAAATGTGGAAAATCATTTAGGGGCAGCTCAGATCTTATTAATCTTATTAAACACCATTGTGTTCATACTGGGGAGAAGCCCTATGAATGCTCTGAATGTGGGAAGGCTTTCAGTCAGAAGTCACACCTTATTAGTCATCAAAGAATTCACACTGGAGAAAAGCCCTTTGAATGTAACAACTGTGGGAAGGCCTTCAGCGGACACACAACTTTCATTAAACATCAAAAACTTCACAGTGGAAAGGACTTTGGGGAATGTGAGAGGATCTTCAAACAGGACTTATTCTAATAGACAACAAAACCTAATGAATTTAGGAAAAGCCAGATGGAAACTACATCTTTTTGCACTATCTGGACTTTTTATTTAAAAAAACTGTTTGCAGATAGGAAAACATGGGAGAGGTCCTAATAAGTGGTAAATATGCAACTGTAATCAGAAAGAAAAACTCTTAGACATAAAAGCCTTTTCTCTGCCTCAAAGTTGCTATTGGTGTTTGGTCCCAAAGATATAATTACTTGAGAATGTTTTAGAGAGACTTCTATTCTCTTTAAAATCACTAGAAATCACTTTGGCAACAACTTCACTAAATTCTTCATGGACGGAGACAATGCATGCTTGTCTGCCTAAACCAGTGACAAGAAGAAATCAACTTTAAGTACTTTAGGGTGATTAAATCTCTCTCTGGGATAAATTCTTCCCCTTAGATATGTATTTTATGTGTTTTTTCCTTACTGCCTTTCTTTAAAAAATGTTTATGCCTACGTGATACTACTAATGAGAATGATCCACTAATTGATAGGAAACAAATAACAGAAATAACTTGATAGGCCACAAGAGGTAAGGCAGATGTTCCCCAGAAAAAGAGAAGTGGGTAGAGGAAATGAATGAGTGAGAGTCAGGAGAGCAGTGATGTTGGGAATGGACTTAGACTGAGTGCCAGAGCAGAGGATTTAGGTGGTGTGAGTCGGTCGGAATTAGAAGAAAGCATCTCATTTGAAAGGTTAGGTTACTGTAATTTTGTCCTGAACCTGGGATCTGTATTTGGGCACAATTCATTTGAGGACTGGAGAGTCTAAATAGAACTCTGGGATGAGGCCAGTCATAATTTAATCCAATAATTGATAGTAATAAGTAGGCTCTGCCTATCTGTGCAATCATATTCAATCATCAAATATTTCCTGTACTCTGAAGTGCTGGTAGATTGTATAATAATTTTAAAGGGTCATCAGATAAGAATCTCAATCTCATAACCTTTCCTCAATGAGAAGAACTTGTGAGATGCCGGGCGGAGAGTCATGTTTTTATCTCTTGCTCTCTTCTTTCCTCTAGCTCAGTGGTTCTCATCCAGGTTGATTTTTGTCCCCCACCCCCAGGGGACATTTGGCAATGTCTGGAGGCATTTTCACTTGTCACCACTAGAGGAATACTACAGGACTTTTACTGAGCTAAGGCCAAGGATGCTGTAAAAATCCTGTGCACCAAACAGCCCCCTATTACAGAAAGTTATCTGGCCCAAAATGCCAATAGTGCAAAAGTTGAGAAACCTTGCCCATGGGTATTTAGAGTCCCAGTAAGTGGAAACCATTAGAAGCAAGGATTTCAATGTGACCTGAGCAGTGGCAGTGCATCCTAAGGGGAACCCATAGTCTTAAGGAAATCTTTAGTTTAATAGGGAGTTCTGGTGGCATAGTGCCTAAGGCATCTGACTGCTAACCAGAAAGCTGGCTGTTCTAACCCACCAGCCACTCCTTGGAAGGAAGATTGGGCAATCTACTTCCAAATAAACTGTCTTAATAGAGTCAATGTGGTGTAGTGGAGGGAGCACAGAGTTTGGAAGCAGTCAGATAAAGGTTTGTATCTTAGCTTTGTGACTTGTTAAGTAAATTATTTAACCTTGTTTTCCTCATTAGTAAAATGGTGATAAAATAATCTATCTCGTGGATAAATTTTGAGTTTCACAAGAGAAAGCTGAAATTTACTGTTGATATAGGGAAATCTGGAGCTTTAATAGTTTTTAAACAAAAGACGAAGCACTTACAAACAAAATATGAAATACATAAGATAGAGTGGTGTCTTGTTGGTGTAAAGAATGTAAACTGTTAAAAATTCAAAGCATCAGGGGCTCAGATTTCCCCAGAGGGCATCCTGGACAGTAGTGGATGTCTTGAAGAGGGAAGTCCATCCAGACTCAGTGAAAGTTGGCTGCTTGTGGATAGTACGTGGTACAGGGGCTTGAGAAGCCTGCCAGCCCCTATCCCTGCCTCAAAAGTTTTAGCTTCTTAGTAATCCCACATAACCTAATAATCTTTTTACATGAGAATATCTTTACATATATTTGGGGAGCAAAAGGAATTCAAAGTAGCTATCACTTGTGATATACTTGGATTAAAATCTGAATATACTTATTTATTTTTTAGTTATTCCAGATTATAATTAATCAAAATCTTTAGCTAACTGGAACATCTTAAAAAACCAAACCAAACTCACTGCTGTCAAGTCGGATCCGACTCCTAGTGACCCCTCCTTGGGTTTCTGAAGCAGTCACTACGGAAATAGATTGCCCAGTCTTCCTTCCAAGGAGTGGCTGGTGGGTTTGAACCACCAGCCTTCTGGTTAGCAGTCAAATGCCTTAAGCACTACACCACCAGAGCTAACTAACTGGAACATCTTAACATTCTATTTTCAGAAAAGAAGGCAAAAAGCCAATCTCCAATTCCTTTTCCTGTCTTTACAGGCTATACAGTGAGAGAGATGGGTCAGATAATTCTTTACAAGGAAAGCCAGACGTTGAAAGGGACTTAAAGGTGGTTTCCAACTTTGTAAACATCAAGACCCTCTATTTTACTCATGTACCCCATGTTTTAAAAGATTTTGTTTACCTAACTGCATTAAGGAATAATTGGTTCTATTTTTTGCTATTCAGATGTATGTATAACCACCAATCATGCTTCTGATTGGCATGCCATAACTGGACTAAGGTTCTAAAATTCTAGGCAAAAACAAGTAACTTACCATTTTCATTAGTCTTTTTATCCCTTTTGTGGGCAGATATATAATTTGCCTTGGACTTTTTTGGAATATTAACTATTGCATGAAGATCCCAAATTGAAAGACAAAGCTCTTCATTTCTCCCTTGATAAAGCTTGAATTATACAGAGTGCATTAAACTTTTCAAAGCACAGGGCAAAAATGAATTGTTACAGTTTGGAAATGTTTTCAACCATGAATGTTGAAATAAAAGTTATTCAACAAATACTAATTGAGTGTCTAATATGTGTCAAATGCCTTTGTATAGTCAATAAAACCCAAATAAACATCTTTCTGGTATTCTTTGCTTTCAGCCAAGATACATCTGATATTGGCAATGATATCCCTCATTCCATATCCTCTTCTGAATCCAGCTTGCATTTCTGGAAGTTCCCTGTCAATATACTATTGCAACCATTTTTTAATTATCTTCAGCAAAATTTTACTTGCATGTGATATTAATGATATTATTCAATAATGCCCACATTCTGTGGGATCACCTTTCTCTGGAATGAGCACAGGTATGGATCTCTTCCAGTCAGTTGGCCAGGTAGCTGTCTTCCAAATTACTTGCCATAGACAAGTAATTGCCTCCAGTGTGGCATCTGTTTATTGAAACATCTCAATGGGTATTCCATCAATTCCTGGAGCCTTGTTTTTCACTAATTCTTTCAGTGCAGCTTGGACTTCTTTCTTCAATACCACTGGTTCTTGATCATAAGCCACCTCCTGAAATAGTTGAACATCAACCAGTTCTTTTTTGTACAGTGACTCTATCTCTGTACAATCATCTTCTTTTGATGCTTCCTTCATCTTTCAATATTTTGCCCATAGAATCCTTCAATATTGCAACTTGAGGCTTGGATTCTTCTTTAGTTCTTTCAGCTTGAGAATGCCAAGTGCCCTTTTGGTTTTCTAACTTCAGGTCTTTGCACACTTCATTATACTTTACTTTGTCTTCTCAAGCTGCGCTTTGAAATTTTCTGTTCAGTTCTTTTATTTTGTTATTTCTTCCATTCCCTTTAGCTACTTTCTGTTCAAGAGCAAGTTTCAGAGTCTCTTCTGACATCCATTGTGGTCTTTTCTTCCTTTCTTGTCTTTTTAATGACCTTTTGCTTTCTTCATGTATGATGCTCTTGATGTCATTCCACAACTCATCTGGTCTCCAGTCACTGGTGTTTAGTACATCAAATCTGTGCTTCAGATGGTCTGTGAATTCAGGTGCGATAATCAAGATCATATTTTGACTCTTGTGAATGTGTCTTAATTTTCTTCAGCTTCAACTTGAACTTGCATATGAGCAACTGATGGTCTTTTCCACAATCAGCTCCTGACCTTGTTTTGACTGAAGATACTGAGCTTCTCCATCACCTCTTTCCACATGTGTAGTCAATCTGATTCCTCTGTACTCCATCTGATGAGGTACATTTGTATAGCTGCCATTTATGTTATTGTGTATTTGTAATTACTAAGTTGTTACTCTTGTAAAATTCTATCACACAATCTCCAGTATCATTTCTAACACCAAAGTAATATTTTCTAACTACTGTATGCTGCATCTTTGTTTCTAACTTTCACATTCCAATCACCAGTAACAATCAATAAATCTTGATTGCATGTTTGGTCAATTTCAGACTGTAAAAGTTGGTAAAAATCTTCAATTTTTTCATCTTTGGCTTTAGTGGTTGGTGTGTAAATTTTAATAATAATAGTCTTAACTGGGAAG